TAAATTAATTTAGAAATGTAACACTAAACAATGATTTTGAAAATCTTTTGACAGATAATTAACCAATGACCACAGAAAGCACAGTTTAGAGTAACAGGGAAGTCAAAGCCACTCTGGAAGTAGTGTTCATGTTTAAAGCTCTCACTTCTCAGGCTGTTCAATGAGCAAGGCTGACAGTGAGTAAGTGACTGACAGCTGTCCATCACTGAGACACCAGAACTGGTCAGAAGTTTCAGTTTTCACTTACCTCGTCCTGATATTTCAATATTAGAGGTGAGGCAGGCTCAAGCTAAGAAAAAAAAAAAAACATTTGTGCCCCTACCTACCATAACGTTGTGATTTTTTCTGAGTGAACCTCAGTTACAATCAGGGTTTTATTAACTACACAGACAGCAGTCATTATGCTCTCCTAAAACAGCTAGTCCTTCTGCTACTCCAGATTTAAAAAAAAATAAATAATCATACATTGCAAGAGGAGCTGCAGAAGGAAGAGAACTTTTTTTTTTTTTTTTCCTAATATGGAAACTATAAAAGCAGTTCTTGAAGCTGTTATTAGCAATTCCCTAAATATCTGTAAGTAACAACTTTTGTGGGCCCAAGAAAAATGGCGTTGAGACAAGACTGAGGGCAACATTATTTTGGTCTCAGTTCTAAGTTTTTGAGGAGGTCAGGACCCCTGATGTAAGGGGGTCTTGCACTATTTTATTTTGTTCTATTAATATCTGTCCTTATCACTAAGTCACAACTGTGACTTTGAACCAGGAGGTATCAAGAGATGGGCTAACTGAGGGTAATAAGCTAACCCAACAAGAAACAATGACTTCTGCTATTAAGGAAAATAAAATTAAAAGACACTACAACTCCAAAACAGGACATAAGCAGCTATTAAGAATGTGTATCTCACCGTAATCACTTTTCAACAGTTTTCATCAGTAACCAACATTTGAGTAATTCTGACTGAGACACGTACTGTTCTCTGATGAAATCTTGAACATTATACTCCAGTTATGCTCCAGTATAAGAATGAATCCTGTCTCTTAAATAACTAAGATACTTTACAGTTTGCCCAGAAATTTAATTTAGGGATTAGTGAACCCTGTTTTGCCTAACACGAATAATTTACCTCACTTTTGTCCACTCAGAAGTGATTTTATCTTAACACTAATGAAACCAAAGAGTTTCACTTTTGTCACTTAACAGAATCTATTCACTGAGTAATCTTGGAATGAGCAGTGACTTATAACTGAGGATTTAAAATCCAAATTAAACCTTGCTCTTTCTTCTCATTACCATTTGTAGCTTAGACCTTCAGCTCGGGGAAAAGTACATGAATATGCTGCTAATTTGTTTAATTGAATTAGTATTCTAATATTACACCAAAATAATCTCAAATGGAAAATAATATTTAACCTCTTTGCAATACTTGGTAAGCTTTATTTCATTAAGGAGGCTGTGGCATCTGTAATGGTACCACTAGGTTCCTCCTTACATTGAGAGCAAGTTACAGTACTTTCTGTAACTGCAGTGAAAAGTTAGCCCACCTTTTGCGGACATTTGGCTATATTAAAAATCAGCTATTGTAACAAGTCTCTGGCTCATCATAAGAGACTGGTGTTAGTGCACATTCTGTGTAGTAGGAAACTCTAAGGCAAACTAGGAGGTGAATCCCAACATTTGTATGTAAGCATTCTGAGAATTAAAAAATACGCCAGAAGCCCGCTGTTACTATGGGAGTAAACTAAGATATTCCTAAACCGAACCTTTCCTATAAGAAACAAAGATATAAGTATCATTGTTAGTAATACTAACAATTCATGAGTATTTAATGAGAAATTAAAGTGATGTCATGATAATCTAACACTTTATAAAACTAATTTCTAATAATTCTAGTCATTTTTCTGTGTTAAAATGAAAAGGTCTCCCATTAAAATTCTATTAAAAATCTGCTGATATTATTATTACTATTTATCACATTATAGGGAAGATAGCATCAAAGAAATGTATGTAACCAATCCAAAAAAAGAGATGAATGAGAGGAAAAGACATCTTTTTCCAAGAATATCTCAAAGTACATCACGGCAACTTTATTTTGTGCTTTGCACTGATTGTCTTGTAGCTGTACACTCATTATTTTCAAGTCATTAGGTTCATTAAACTAACTTTACTTATGACTAGTTCGATAAATTCAGTAACTTCATATAGTTGACGAAGATGTGGAACGTTTTATAAGGTATGAACATCTATTTTAAAAGAAATGAGATTCAATTCATTTCATGGTAGCTTTTCAAGGAGCTAACTTTTAAATTGTTTTAGTCGGTGGTAAGAGATGGAAAGACTGTCCCCTTGTGGATAGGAATGTGAGGAAAGCTATAGTGCAGTCCACTGACAGCAATGGTAACCTTGGGCATTAGGCAGTTCATTAAGAAATTAATTAGAATTCAGCCTTGTATATTGCTCATAAATCAACACTCGAAAGTGCAAAATTTCTGGAGATACTTTTTAATTTAAATATGTTGGCATGACAGACAACACAGGGTACAGAATGAGCTAATGTAACATCACCGCTAACACCATCAGTCCACGCGACCATCTAAACCTAGCTGCTTCAGGCAGCGCAGCATTACCCTCCTCTGGAGAAGGCAGTTTTGTGGACAGCTTCAGAGCAGAGAACTGGAGAAGGCTCCACCATAAAGACAAAGTCTTCAGGTATATCTCTAAACTAAAGTGCTGCACACACGGGCATGTCATGCATCATGTCAGCACATCAGTCTACATGGCAGAGCACTCACCAGCCTTGTCCTCGCTTCTGCAGCCCCTCCAGCAGCTCTTGGCATGGCTCTGTTCACTGATTCTTGATTCTCAGGAGGATTTGCCTGGAGGCCCTTAGCACACCACTGAACCGAGGTGCTAGGTAGGCACTGATCCAGAAACCAAAGTGAAAGGCCCCACCGTCCTGCTCTTCTGGGCTGCTCTGTAGAAGCACTTTTAGTCACTCTGACCACTTAGCAGAAGAACTTGTGGTCTTACAGATTCCTCACTTTTGGCCAGTGCTGCTCCTGGCAAGCTATAGATCTAGCACAGGTGGATTAAATTCTTCTGCTTCTGGGCAAATTTGCTGTAATGCAGCAAGGTAGTTTTACTGCAGGATGGAAGGGGAATTCCCTGCCGATCCCTGCCAGACAGGAGGTGGAGGGAGTGAAGTGGTATTGATTCATAGCTGACTGGAGACATAGCTGGTGTTGCAAACGTTAAATTATCCATAAATCATAGAATCATGTTACAGATTCCCTATACACATCACCGTCTCTGGTCCATGAGAGCTACCAGAAGATGCTAGAACCCCACCATAGTTCAGATCTGGGACAATCAACAGTAGCTTCACATCTCTGAATGAAGAAGCAGAACTTTACAAAATTGCTTAGATAGTAGGGGATGTTTCTCATAGGAAGTATTTTGGTTCTTGAAGCCCAGTTTTCCCCTATTGCTGGCAGTTATAACATCCTTTATAGGCTCATCATGTTCCGTCTACCAAGATTTCTCCTGCTTACCTCAGCTGAAAGAATGTTCTGTAATATCATTAGAAACCTCATATTTTTTAGTTCAGCCATTCATGGTCACTGTGGATCTGCTCGTTCTATTACCCTTTTGTTTAAACAGTTTTTTGTTTGTTTGTTTGTTTGTTTGTTTCATCCTTATTGTTTAATCCCTGATAGACAGTAATCCTGTTCTCCTCAAGTCTTCACTTTGTTGAACAAGTCACATACTTGCAGCTTTATTGCACTGCAAGAGCTCTACAAATGCTTTCATCATATGACCATGCCAGATGAAAGTATCCCATAAAGACTTTTCCCAGAAATGTCATTCAAGAATGTCTTATCAACGCACAGTATTTTTCTGTCCCCCATGGAAACACTTGGACAGATACTTTCTTTGGCACTGGTGGCTTTTTGCAGTCATGTCTCAGAAATGACTCCTGAAAAGGCCAGATAACTCAGCAGTTGTTTTTATCAGTCATTTCCTGCTGATTATTTGCTAATCACAGCAGAAATTCTCATTCTTTTAGCAATCACAGGAACTGCATGCATCGAGAAACAAGCTGTTGCTCCCCTTTAGAAATCTGCTACCACAAAGTCCTAAAGGTTTGTGGCGAACCAGTTTGATTCTGGCTAGCAGAGATACAGGTTTGTATGTGGTTCAGAGGGGGCCGATGGGGCCTTTGATAAGAAGACTTCCCAAACTGTGCTTTATTAATTCGTGTGCTTCATTAATTTGTCCTCCACAAAAAAAGTGAGTATGTTGAATCTGATGTTCGGTGGTATGTGAATTGATTGCAGGTTGCTTGAAGGGGTGAAGATGAAAATGTCTGAGGAGTTATTACAGGTTTAGATGAAGACAAATATTTGTAAACAGCACTTTTAGTCCAGAGCATGTCCCACTCCTCATCTATCACACCCGTGTGCGCATCAGCAAGTGGCTAAGGGCCTTGCTATTAGCACAGTATGTATGGGAGTTGAAACGTCCAGATGTAAACAGCAAATCCACGTGGTAGATAGATGTTTGTTCTTTATACCACAAGCCGCCGTGACAGACAAATCAAAAGTGAAAGAGAGGAAATTCTTTAAACGTTATTTCCTCTGTCTCTAACGCTAGGAAGCAAAGACAAACCAGACAGTTTATTTCTGCGCTTCATTGAGGAAGTGTTACGGGGCATTGTGAAAGTTCCTTCTTTCATCCCCTGTGATGAAACCACATGGCAAAATAAATCACAATAACTCTCCAGAATTTCATAATGCTCTTTCAAGGCTGCGTGGCACCGGCAGGAGCTTTAACACAGCCCTGCTCCTCAGCCCAGCCCCGCGGTGGAGGCACCACCACCCCAATGGCCGGCACCTCGACCCGTCAGAGGAGCCCTTTGGGGGCACGGGGGGCACCCCCGGCCCCTCAGCCCGACCTCCCCGCCTCTCCCGGCCCTCCTCCCGGCCCGGCTCGGCCCCCAGCCGCTGACGGCCTCGGCGGGCGGAGGGACGCCGGTGCCCGCCCCCGTGGCGGCGCCGAGCTGCGGCCGCGTCCCCCGCACGGCCCGGCCGTGCCATGGCGGTGCTGGGGCAGGGGCAGCCGGCGCTGCTGGTCAAAGTGGTGATGGCCGGCGAGTCCTGCGTGGGGAAGACCTCCATCGTGCGGAGCTACACGGAGCCCGGCGCGCCTGCCTGCTCCTCCTCCTACCTGGCCACGATCGGTGAGTGCCCGCCCGCCCGGTTATTAAAGCGGAGCCACCGCTGTAGGCGGCAGCAGTTGGCGCTGGTAGACCCAGGGGATTTGGGGTTGTGTCCCCATGCTGCCAGCCCTATACCCCCACAGAAGCAGGGTGCCAGGAGCCATCCCCTGCCACCGTGGTCCCGGCTCACAGCGCCTGGGGAGCAGCAAAGTTGCCCATTTTCTGCGTTCTTTAATAGAAAGTTAAAGTGTGCACAAGAAAAGTTTTCTTCCCATATTTCAAACATGCACAGCTCTATATATTTTTCAGTGTGGGAAGGGTTTGCTTAACTCAATAAATAATAGGTAGTATCTGTGGCAGCAGTTGGTCCTATTTTGTAACAGGGAATACTGGACTTACATGAAATTACTTGATTTGCCCACATGAGCACTGGCAAAGCTGAACCCACCCTTTATTTTCCTGCATCTTCTTGCAAAGCATCTTCTGAAACCAACACTGACAAAAAGGGAAGGATGCAACTAGCAGAAATGTAGTGAAATTGATCCTGATAACTTACAGGAGGTTTAACAAGAAAGAGTCTCAAGGAATGTCCATGAGAAATATCATGGACATCATAAACATCAGCTTTCTAAATCCATTTTCTATTGGAACTTAGATACCTAACCATGAGATTGTAATTCTGATACAGATTTTTTTGTACTCTTAATCCAATCTATCACAGAGTCAAAAACCCCAGCATATCATGACACTAAGAATATATTTCCCCAGTTGTGGGTTGAAGGACTATAAAGAATAGCAAAGATAAAACAGCTTTGTAACCATTATGGACCAAGATTAACCTTATTTAGTTTTATAGTAATAAAACTTCTTCCTGAAACTTATTCCTGAGTTAAAAACTTCTAAAGCATGTATTTTATCTGAAATATAAATGAATCACCCAAATTTCGTATTTGTTAACTCCACGTGATTTTTCAAGTTATTTCTGAGACATGGCATCCCACTTAATTCTATTTTATGAACCATGTTAGAGTATGGACTTTTAAAATTAATATGATTGTGGGTGAGGGCTATCGAAGTGGTGATGTTGAAGGTGGAAGTTCCTGGCTCACAAGGACAGCTACAACCAAGAAAATCGAGTCTTTGCATCATGGTTGTGGTCAGTAATGGTGTAAAGGAAGAAGACGCATCGCAACATTTCAGATTTTTTTGTTCATGATGTCTTCTTCCTCTTTTTCTATGCTATCAAAATAACTGTTTTCACTTGCATGCCTGTTTCACACAAGCTCAGCCAAATGAACCCTATCTGTCATGCAGCCTGTTGAACGCTCGTCTGATGTTAATTGATACTTCACCCTACCTGTCCAGCTGGAACGCTGGTTAGAGTAGAGGGAAGATTATCCAGGTTGTTCGGTTTCTCAGCCATCTGAGTTTCCTGACAAAATCGTATGTCACCTCCTTCCTGAGCAACAGAGGGTCATACTCACAGAAGTTAAAGGTTGTCGTGGAGCTGCAGAGTCTCATTTCTTTGTCATCATGATTCACGGGTTTGTATTACTAGAAAAAAAAAACAAAAACTACTGTTACTGCAGGGAAACAACATTTCTGGTAGGCTGCAGTAGTGAAATTTTCTAAAATAATGTATTTTATGAAATGAAACAAAAAATGTATCCACAGTAAATTTTCATTGAAAGCAGTTTATGTGGCACTTAAATGCTCAAGGATGGGTGCCCTTCCTCCTCCTCAATTATGCAGTTTGGGTAAATTATAAGCAGTTATAGTTTTCTAATTAAACTTATATGCATCATAAGGCAGATGCATTGTATTATGAATAGTAGGCAATGGTAGACTATAAAGAATAAATGGTTTTGTTTAAACAATGGCATTGCATATAACGGCACAGGGAAAGTTTATGAACAAAAACAAACCCTCTTGTATACAAGTGAACAGGATTGTGATCTCACCAGTTGTAAGGTTTTTATTTTGCTGGATTATAGTGGCTGTGGTCCCACAGGCACAGATTTCCTGTGGGAAAAAACTTCTGTAGAGCTGTGAGTCACTCCAGACTTTCATAGTTGAAAGTGGTTCAACTCCCATTTTAGGATTAAAAAAAAAAAAAGATAATTTCATTTTGAAGTTTTCTTCAAAACACAACTTTTGCTTATATTAAAATGAAAAATGCTCATATTAAAAAAATAAATAAATAAAGATTTGTTATGCCTAAAATACAAGACCTAAGAATGAAATTGCAAATTGAAGTGATTTATGCATTTGTTTTCAATGCACTATGACAGCCAGTTCTGACATGTGTGGATACCCCAATTCTTACTTTACAAGGAAACAAAGTAGAGTTTATCAACAGAAATGAATTACATTGAAGGTAAACACGTTATGTTTATCTCAATGGGAGCTTGGGAGTTGATACCAGCTCCTTATCTCTTCCCAGAGAAAGCTGAAGATGCTGTATGACTGGCTAGGAGCTGCACCGGGGTGTACGCTGCTGTCTCTTTGAGTTGCTCAAACTCACATTTTAATATGTATAAACGTATTTTTGAGCTTTTTATGTCAGGACCTTGCCAGCTATATTGGGATGAAAAGTGTTTTGTAATTTTGTAGGCCAGCTGCAGAAGACGTCTCTGAGGAGGACTTTTGCACATGGTCAAAGACTGTTTCGTAGATGCTGAGGGAGAACATGGGCAATTCACAGCTGAATTCCTACGTGGACAACTATTTTAATGCTTCTTAGACCTAGTTGTCTTCAAGGTCTCTCAGTCCTAATACGTCCACATTTATTATTTTGCAAGTAAAGAAAAGAAATAAATCTCATGGCTATAAAACTTACATGCATATAAAACTTGGAAATAACAACTAGAATTTGAGCTTGTACCCCGTGTACCCATTCTTGGTTTTATTTGACAGCTTAGAAGAAGCAAGTACAAGCTGTTGCATTCAAATAACGTTCATCTCAAGAGCAGTAATCAATGCTAGCTTCGTTATGTTGATCATATTGTATAGTACACAGGCCTAAAAGCATCTGAAATCTGTGAGCTGTCTTTGGCATTTTATTTCTCATTTTTCTTTTTTGTCTTTTCAATTTGCTAAGTTTGCATGAAATTTCATATAAAGACATGAGCAATTCATGCATGCAGAACATATTGACTTCTGTTTTTCACTAACATTCATTGACCTTTTAGGTCAATAAATTTTGAAGTTGACTTAAGAAGTCAATATGCCTTATTTTAATTTAGATTAAGTTTTAGTCTGATTCAGCACTCTGCTTCCCTTTTTATAAATAATAAAAAAAAATCTTATATCAATTTATTATTAAAGTGTATGTCAAATAAAAACTGTTTCTTATGGGTCTGGGAATCCCTAGGTGGAGTGTAATTTTTTGCACCATTTGAAAGTGACTTTCCAGCCTCCCAGTAAGTGCCTTGTCCCTCTCAAGTGCTCTAACATCAATTGTAGAAAGTGATACAGATAATTAAACAAAACCATGTGAATTTCAGGAGCAAATGTTTTCTGTAACATTTAAATTTCAACTGACATGAGCACATGAGCAAATCTGGCTTAAATTACCTTTCCAGACATCATTATTAATTCCATCAAGGAAGCTTTGTGTAATATTAATTACAGATACCAATTATATTATTTCATCTTCCCTTGCTATTGAAGCTTCAATAAAAATTCATCAAGTGAAGGACATGATTATCATAATAATTTTAAACTCTTTTGCCACATGCACATGAAAATGTTACTACCATTGGAATCTTGCATGTGAACATGTACTCTGCAAAGATTTGCACAAAATGCATTCAGAAATAAAAAGAAGGGAACATTTCCTTCACTGCATTGATATTTTATTGCCATGAATGCTTTCCTTTTGTATTGACCTTGTGGATTCTTGGCCATGGAGAATGCAGTAGGGCCAGCTACCACAATGCTACCTTACCTTTACTTAATGTAATTGACTTAATGTAATTGCCTGGTTAATTTTCAGGGAGAAAAAAAAAAAAAAAAAAAAAAAAAGTACAGAGAAATCAGTGAAATGTATTTCAAATTTCAGCAGGATAGTGAGGAAATACATCACTCCAAGGTAGCAGGTGATAGCAAACAGATTCTAATGTTAAGTTTGGAGCTTCAGCAAGGCATGAATCCAGGTGTGATTTCCCACACTTGTCATCCTAATTTGATAATATAATAAAGCACTATAAATTATAAGGAAAGTATCTTTGAGGAAGGATCTGTAATGTATGTAGAGACAATATTCATCAGTGATTTCAAGTGCTAGTGGCTGGTTTTAGCATTAACACTCTGGATTCGAGATACACAGAGATAAAGACTACAGAGACAATTGTTGATTTGAATGAAATCCAGTGTATGCTTGTCTTTGCATTTAACTGATGCAAATAATTTCTATTCCTGTTCATGTAACCCTAGATTATTTTTTTTAGGGATTTGGGACTGAAGACTGAGAAATGGTATTGTGCGTGTAACAGCTTTGTAAGCATTTGTTGCTAACTATATATAGCCTTTTTGATGAAACTGGAAACAACTGAAATCACCAATGTATTTGCCAAGTATTATTGTGCATAAACCATGCAACTGCTGTCCTATCATTTTTCTAATAATGGAAATAAGCACATGTCATTTCAGAATATCTGCACCTTTGCTTTGACCTGCCCCTCCATTGTATTTATTGGCACGTGGTTGTCTTCACCACTGAATAATTTCCTTTTACAGCTTCCATTTTGAATGTATATGGTTAGTTTTTCTTCGTTTGATAGAGTTCCTTTTCACCTTCCATTCAAAATTGCATGATTACTAGAGCTAAGAAACATTCTTCAAAAGCAAATCCACGTTACAAGAAATGTTACAGATTTTCTTCTTTCTTCTAGGCATTGATTTTAAAGTAAAGCCTATAACGCTTAATGATACAAGAGTGAAACTTCAAATATGGTAAGTTTTAATTTATATCACAAATGAAAGCCAATTAAATTGCATTATCACATGAAAAATCTCATCTGCTTTTATGTGCATGCCTGCATTTAAGTGCAACTGTTATGTAGCAGGTCATTTTAAAATTTTAATTTCGGATAGGGGAGCATATTTTTTGCGTTAACTAAACTTTTTTTTTTTGCATTAACTTTCTTTTTAACTAAAGTAAGATAAAAAGAGAGTTGTTGCTAGATTGCTTTAGCAATAAAACTTTGCTGTTAACAGCATGCACACAATGCAGATCTACAAACCATATTAAGTATATTTAATTGTATGGGAACATTGAGGGAAGTGACAAAGCAAGAAAATGTTATGTTTCATTACCCAACAAATGCAGGCTCAAATGACTGAAAACTATTCAGACGAATCTTTGGGAGCTTACACTCCTTTTTTGTTTGTTTGTTTTTGAGGCTTTTCTAAATGGTATATAGGAATGCAGACAGCTATGTCTACAGGCATCCAATACAGACAGTTATCTATAGTTATCAGTATTTAATTCTAAGGAGTAACTCTGTATCTGAATTATCTGACCAGTGTTAGATATTCAGTTACTCCATCTCAGCTTCTAATACAAAAGTTTTGAAGGCTTGTTGGCAGCTTTCTTAAGGCATATTTGTGTGTAGGAATCTCTGCATCCCAGTATATTACATTTCTTTCCAAATACCTGTCTTCCATCTAAACCAGATCACTTTCTGTGTCGCAGTTTACAAAGTACTAGTCAGAGTGTAGGATACCATCTGACACCTGCAGTGCTTGTACTTCAGATTTTATTTATTTTTTTGCCACCTGAATTGAACTCATCTTGCTGATTAACTATGTACAAGGTAGTGAACTTGAACTGTGTATAAAGTGGTGAGTTTGAAGTTACACTCAGACTTCAGCCACTGGGTTAGCTTTCCTAGTAGGGCTGTGTTACTCAACCTAAACTTCAGTGTATTTCTTTGACTGCTGAACATACTTGAAACCTGGCATCCAGATTTCCTCCCATCCTTATATTCACTTGTTCCTTTCATACATAGTTCAAAATTTATTCAACTTTGGAAAATAAAGCGATTTTTCTTGAAGGGAGGGGTTCTACAGTTTATTCATTGATTTTAAATTTATTTATGCATTTTTTGGTGACTTTTTATGGTTTCTTTCAGGGATACTGCTGGCCAGGAACGTTTCCATACACTTAGTACTAGCTATTTTCGTGGAGCACAAGGCTTTGTGCTTGTATATGACATCACAAATATGGACAGTTTTCAAGGCATCACAAGCTGGATGAAAGATATCCATGAGGTAAATATATTTCACAGCAGTTGACCTTTTAATGAAGGTAGTTAATGAATTACTGCAGTTAATGCTTTAAATGACTGCACAAAATTTATTGTTGTTCCTGGAGCTGTATGTTTCTAACCACAATTTCTTATATTTAATTCAGCACGTGGTATGATAGTAAGCTTAATGTTATGTGGAACTGAAGGACCGTGTAGATTATCCAGAGCAACCCCTTGCTGATACAGGAGTGTTTTCTGAAATACATTTAAAACACATCTTCAAATCCAGTTTCACATACACTATGTTACAGTGCTCTTGTCAACAGTGTGGCTGTTCACAAGACCTACAAGCCAATCTCCATGAGTTTCTCCCAGGATTTTAATTAGCTTCAATGTCAAAATTCCATATAATAATCAGTGATTGCCCTTTCCTAATTTCATTACTTGTTATGTCATCACCTCATTCCAAAAATCATATTAAGCAAATCAAATGAAACATCCTGTTTTTCCTTGCTGTATATTCCCATGTGAGAATGGGAGGAAATGGGAGAGAGCAGGGTCAGTCCTTTTTTGGTGCAGCGAACTGTTGGTTTAGTTCATCTGCTTGTGGTACTGCAGCCAGAAAAGTCTGTTTGCATGTGACATAGGAAGGGATTCAGCAGCGCATGACTGCCAGGCAGGGAGCATGTTCCTACAAACTTGCCTGCATGTGAAAGTTTGCTCCTGTTGTGCTGCTTCTGGAGCTTGTTAGACCCCTCTGAGCTTCACTCCACCTCACTAATGTGGTGAAAAATTAACACAGCAAAAACAGTTGTGTAGTTTTCCGCTGTGTTAGTGATCTTAAGAGGTTCATAGAAAGGTCTGGCAGTTTATGGAGTTGTCATAAGGGAGAGGAATAGGAAGGCTGGGAGAAGAATGTGTGGGAACAAGGTCAGGAAGGAGTTAAGGAGGAAATTGTCAGGCATCAGATCACTGAGCTGCCTGTAAACCAGTACTGGGAGCCTGTATTCATAGAATCACTGAATCATGGAATGCCTTGGGTCGGAAGGGACCTTAAAGATCACCTTGCTACAACTCCACTGCCATGGGCAGGGATGCCTCCCAGTGGACCAGGTTGCCCAGGGCCTCATCCATCCTTGAACACTTTGAACGCCTCCAGGGATGGGGCATCCACAACATTTCCAGGCAGACTGTTCCAGTGCCTCACTACCTTCTGAGCGAAGAATTTCCTCCTAATTTCCATATAATTTAAATCTTCCCTTCTTTAATTTAAAACCATTCCCCCTTTTCCTGCCATTAGTGGCCTGAGTAATATTGCTCAGTCCCTCTTGATGTGTGCTATTGGGTAGAGATAGGTCTATTTTCTATGTATTGACACAAAAAGTTTATAGTTAGTATGGCTGCGTAAGAATCCAAACAAGATAATGCTCTTTGTTGATTAAAATCAAGTAAACATTTAGGCAGTTTTTTTTTATAATACTTACAGCCTCTGCAAACTGGTAGGAATATGACATGATGGATGGATGGACGGTTGGATGGATGGATGGATGGATGGATGGATGGATGGATGGATGGAAGGAAGGAAGAGCTCATCTTGGAAAAGCAGGCTCTGAAAGAAAAACATCAAAGACATCCTTTTCTCTTGTCACACCTTCAGTATACAGATGAATTAATGACCTATGTATGGTCATATATCCCATAATACGTACTTAGGGTATCTTATACTGTTGGTAGGACATTGCATTTACATTGCTTCAGTATTAAGAACATAACTATCTATGATGACCTGGTACAATATTATCCTTGACCTTATGGCTAGCTTAGAAGTCTTACTGTCAACAGAGTGTAACTTCAATAATGTTTTACGAAGGAGACTTGATGAAAATATCCTAAGTGGCTTGTCTGCACACACTTCCAACATATTTTATCATTATGTTAAGAAAAGTGTCTTCCCTTCTGTTAGGCAAACCAACAAAAGTAACAACTGGATACATGACTGGTAGTACAGTTTTATGATGAGCTATGATTTAACTGAGCATACGGTCTGATAGTAGACTTACTGTTACCTGGAGCTGGAAGTGTAGATTATCCATGAGCCAGCAACATGCCCTTGTGGCCAAGAAGGTCAATGGTATCCTGGGCTGCATTCAGAAGGTGAAGGGAGGTGATCCTGCCCCTCTACTTAGCCGTGGTGAGGTCTCACCTGGAGTATTGCATCCAGTTGTGGGCTCCCCAGTACAAGAGGGACATGGAACTGCTGAAGCAAGTCCAGAGGAGGGCTATGAAGACAATGAGAGGCCTGGAGTACCTGTTGTATGAGGACAGGCTGAGAGAACTGGGCCTGTTTAGCCTGAAAAAGAGAAGACTGAGGGCAGACCTCATCAATGTGTATAATTATCTGAGGGGAGAGTGTCGAGAAGATGGAGCCGGTCTCTTTTCAGTTGTGCCCAGCGACTGGATGAGAAGCAACAGGCACAAACTGAAGCACAGGAAATTCTGGCTGAATATGAGAGGGCACTTTGCTGTGAGGGTTACAGCACTGGAACAGATTGCCCAGAGGGGTTTTGGAGTCTCCTTCTCTGGAGATACTCAAAATCAGCCTGGATGCCATCCTGCACAACGTGCTGTAGGTGATCCTGCTCAGCAGAGGTTTGGACTAGATAATCTTCAGAGGTCTCTTCCAACCTCAGCCATTCTGTGATTCTGTGATATACATGTATATATACATATCTATATATATGTATGAAATATTTATCTAACTTCATACTTCCTTCAAAGGGGTCATTTTGCCCTGTCGCCTTTAATTAGATCAACAAGATAGTTGATTCACAGGGGGAGGGAAGGATGGGACTAGCACTTGTAGCCACAGTACTTCAGTGGTAAAGCTTAGATCTGCTTGAGTCCATCTGGAAATCACACCTGCATGAGCCTGCTTTCTGTTCATGACACGTAAAAGTTTTCATGTAAACATGCTAAAGCTATTAATAATTACATTGTTTAATCTTACCCCCAAAATTACTTCCTTATTTTAAAATAAAAAATATATATATATCAAACAATTTCTAGGAATGTAAATTGCATGATTGATTGTACCAATCTTAAAACTAGCAGTTAGTGAGTGTTGTAATGGAGCTAGATAATAATAAAAAATAATTTAATCATAGTGTAGTATCAATTTCTGAACTGTATTGGTGTAAATGTGTGGGACTTTTCATTGTAAAAGAAGTGTTTCTAAGCAATAACTGTTACAACATAGGGCATATCATGAAAATTAATTACTTGCTGGAGGATATCAACATTCCTTGAATTTGCTTTGGTCTGTACATGCAAACCAGTATTTAATTCCCCACAGATGCCCAGTATCAAAGTGGCTGTTACTACAGCATCCTTAAAAATGTGCAAGGGTAAAAAAATAAATAATAAAAAAGGAAACAGGTACAGGTTTTGTTAAAAGACAGATTGTTAGGTAAAGTTTATACCTGAACCAATCAAACAGGATTTTTGAGGTGATTCAGTTATTACAATTGCACTCTTGCTTTTTAATTCTTTGTACATAGAGCTTTTAAATTGAAGGATTTTTAAAAATCTGTTCAGTGTGCTAAGCCATTTTTATTTTCAACTGCTGTAAAAATCTAAGCAGTTTAGCATTCTTAGAAACTCCACTGATTTTAGAAAAACTGGTCAGTCAGTGCTATTGCAATCAGATTGCTAGTAATGTTATCATTGTATTTAAATTATTTTAAGTTTGGAATACAGCAACTCTCCTATTAAAAATGAATTATTGTTTAAGGAAATTCAAGACATAACTATAGTTTTGTACCTGTATTGTTCTAACATTTGTGCTCAGTACTAGAGCAGAACTAAGTAACAGGATTGTATATAAAAAGGTTACTAGAATAATATAGTCACAACTGAGCATTGTAGGACTTCATTGACAAATCCAGTACAGGTATATTGGATTTGTAGTGCACTCCTTAGGAGCATGATCATTGCAGGAAAATTACTTTAGAACCTGCAACCATTCTTTATTCATAGGTGATACCATATTTATTGTGTTGTTTTTTTCCTCTAGACTGCTGAGTTCAGAAAGGCTGATTCTATTTGGCTGTTAAAAATCAAATACAAGTAACTGTGTACCAAATCCATTTGTAGAAAGCAGTTCTTTTCAGGATGTGTTGAAGAAGATCCCAGTTAACATAACAGCAAAAAAATTACTCCCAGTAGTAAATCCTTAAAAAGGTTCTCTGAGAGCATCTGGATCTCTGGAGATGTGTAAAATTCAGTTCCACAGGTCCTTGAGCAACCTCACCACATGACTTCAAAGTTGGGCCAGTTCTGAGCACGGGGTTAGACCAGATGACTTCCAGAAGTCCTTACCAACCTGAATCACTCCATGAGTCACACATGGGGTATGGGTCACCAGAAACTTTGACATAGATGGCAGGCCCTGGTTTTCTTTGTGCTAGTTTCCTGATGTGGCCATGAAGATGGCATTACCAATTCCTAACAATTACCTTTATGCTGGAAATCATGTGCAAGAACTGGTTGATGTAATCTGGTGTTTTTGTAATACACTAGCTTTCTTCTTGTGGTATCTGAAATAAGTGACCCCTCAACCAGGATATTGGATGTATGGGTGTGGTGGGTTGCTGCTGATTCAACATAGTGCCCTTTTCTGGTTCTGTGCAATGTGATGCATCTGAGAGTTAGGATCTTGGAAAGTATATCTGCATCATATTTAAATAAAAGCTCCACAGCAAAATGCTTTGCAAATGTAAATTAGTTTGACTTCAAATTGCTCTGAGTTTTTCTTCTTCAGATGGGAAAGCCTGGTGCCAAAAGGATTGAATTCGTAGATGGGTTTGTTGTTACGACTCTGATTAGAACTGAAAATTTCTTGTCCTTGTCATTTTGCTAAATTGCTCTATCTCTAATCTCAGATTGGTTTGAGGATAAATTGGTTTATGTCCAATGAAGTCTAAGTTTGTTAATAGATAAACCAATTCCACCACTTGTACAATTCCACCAAAAAAACAGAAATGAGGCATTTGTAATTGAGGTCAAAGCATGGCCCTTGGAAAAATATGTGGAAAGAGTTATCTGTGAGAATCATAATTTGAACACTGCAAGTGATGCTGTCAAAGAGAATGTGGGGACAGTGTATTCTTAACAAATTATTCTTCATTAGTAAAAGGGGTAAGTTCTTGATATCGTTGTCTATTAAGTAGGAGGAAGAAACTTCCTTGCTTTATGACCTTCCCCAGCTCTGCCTTCATCTTGCTGTGTGCTGATCTCATCTTCATATCTGAAAAATTACATTAATGCTACTCATTTTCCTTACATACAAACTAATGAAGCATTACTATAGTGTTTTTATCAGATCTGGGTTCTGTTTCACTGTTTGGACCTGCAAGCAAACTTCCATTTCCCTTTCAAGCTGTAATCAGTGATTATCAAAACAGTGCAGCCCTGTACAGCTATGCTGTGGCAACATGGTGGAAGGACAAGGTGGTGATTCTGAGAAAAAAGTAATATTTCACCAGGTAGATACAAGGAGTCAGGATGAGCTTCAGATTAATAATGTTCAGCATGCTGCAGGGGGCAGGCTGAGGCCACCCATTCACGGTAGGGTCTGTGCTCACCATTTAAGTGAAGGGATGGTCTCCCAGTAGGCTGCAAGTACACATGTGATGCCGTTCTCTTTCCAAACAGGTGTTTGTGCTACTTTTGACGTATAAATTCACAACAAGTCTGTGAAAAGTTTCTCTGCAGAATGAGAAAAAGTGCAGAAAAACATCGGGGGAAAAAGAATACATACAAAAAGAATGAGCAAGGCATTCTCCATATTGCACTCTTGGTTTCTCTTACTACCTACATAGGCAAGGTGACTCAGAATATGCATTTACCAGGTTGAACACACAGGTTAGGTAAAAGTTAAGCAGTCCTGTAGTTATTTAGGGCCAGGGATGGATGGCTGCTGCTGGAGCAGGCTGCATGAGCACACGATGGTGTTACCTGATGTGAGCCGTGTTCCTAGTCCGGTCTGTGGCACCACTGAGATTGTGGCTATGGTGCTGCTCCCTCATGTGGCCACCCAACACAGCAGCTGGCAAGCAGCAGCCTGGCTCCAGCTTTTGCCAAAACCTGGTGACTCCAAACTTTTCCAAACTAGTCAAAAAACTTGGTTGGCCTCAATAAATCTCACAACTTCAAATTTCAGAGAAAAATAGGGTGTTGATGTAGCCTTTTTGGACATAAAATACATTTTTATATATATATATAGGCTAGGTTTTCTCCAAGTTGGTACTTTTTTAATTTGAATTTTCAGTGGAATATGAACTTTGAAATGTTAAAAGCAGAATAAAAACTGAGGAGAGTCAACCAAAACTCTGGATGTATTTTTGAAATACTAAGGCAAAACATTTTTTTTTTCACTGCTCAAAAAAAGAAATTTTCTCTTTTTTTTTTCTTTTTGCCTTGATTAAATTTTGATAGTACTTTTCCATGACATGGGAGAAATGCTTCCTGACGACGTTAGCTGGCTTACATAATAGCATCTTAACAACTGTAAAATAATCATCCTCTTTTTAGCTATAGATTTTGCATTTGCAAGGCTTATTCCTACGCTATAAATAAAAGAGGATGAAAATACACAGTGAGCTTTTAGAAGCACTGAAGAGCCATATTTTTGGCCGATGGAAATCAGTGTACCTCTGCAGTTTTTATGCCAACTGAGCACATGGTCAAGCTTCTGCCTACTCATATTGAGGTATTTTTTTAAGACTTCATCTGCACAATCAGTTTTCAAAATCTAAAATGAAGGTAATTTTGGTTTATACCCTTTAGTTTTCTAAAATGAAGAAACTTCAAGATGTTAACTTTAAAAAAAATCCAGTCAAAGTGAAAATTCATAATGAAATTGTATTAATGTAGAAATATAGTTATTTATGAAAGTAAATACTGAAAGGCCTGGCATTAGACCCTTCAGATGTTTTTATTATTTGAAATTGTGTAGAAAGAACATTTCCACTTTAAAAAGTTGTGCTGTTTGTGCAGAAATACACAACAGGATGGATTTCATGTTTTTGTACAGAAAGGATGCTAGCATTTTCTTTTGACCTTTTGCTTCAGAGTGAAGTCAAATGTCACTGGTAAAACCCTCAGCTGCATACAGCCTTCTTTCAAATAAAAAGTTGATTACATGATGAGATTAAATTGTCTATTTACCCTATTTTAAGGACTGATGTATGCAATTTTATGTAGGAGAACCATTCACCTTAATGAGTAAAGCTCCAGCGCATTCTGGAACAGCCAACATTTTGGTCTATTAATCCAGGTTAGACTGATTCATTATTTTTGGCCTGTACTTTATACTCTTATGATGAGCTTACTTCATTTTAATACTGCATTGTCTTGAACATCAGCTGTGGTTATGAAATGAGATTAGCTGACTCTAAAATGAGAGTGAATTAAAAAAGTGAAATGGTGTTCCTTAATAATAAATTGTGCCCACTGCTGTACTCTTCAAATGAGGCAACTTAGTTGTAAAAGAGAGGGAAAAAAAAAAGACAAAAAATAACGATTCTGTCATCCTTTAATGAATAGAGATTTTTCTTTAAATTTCTCTATTGGGGGTACTTGTGTCCATGTGCAGCTGTGAGTGCTCTGGGGAAGAGGGTTGTCTGTGCCTGTTTTTGTCTTATGGTACAGATTCTGAGAATCGTGGTTGTGAATGCTCGAAGTGTTTGGCTTCTTCTGATACCGGAATTGTAGTGCAGCTGTAATGATGAATTATCAGTGTTCTCTTGTTGTTGCTTATTTGGAGATGAGGCATCTTCTGTCACATTGGGTAGGTGAATATACTTGCATATATACCTGTTCCTTTCAGTCTTTCCACAGAAAAAATTTCAAGCTATGAGCTTGTTTTAATCCTCTCTGAAAGAGATAGAGACACCCTACAGCTTTATTAGTATTATAAAAATTAAGAATTTATTAGAGATCAGAGATTTAATCAGCATCCTTGTAGAGAGATCTGTAGCATGAGATCAAACTATTTCAATCATCAGAGGAGCTGTGAGAGCATTTACTTTCAGAATATGTCATGGGATCAGATCACATGTGCATTGCCCCTAGACTAAGACCCTCAGCTTCCTCCATTTAAGCATCAAAAGTGGTTTTAAATACTGTGTTTTTCACAACAATTGTCAGTTTGCAATTTCCACATTCTGTTGCTGAACTGTTCCGTTTCCCTGTCATTATTCCAGTCATGTAGAGTTACAATGGCTTATCTTAAAATAACACTGATGTAAAGCATCCAGAGTCATCATGTACGTAACTGGATTAGTGGAACGAAGGATGGAGACAAGGTCAAAAAGCTAGATTTTTCTTCCTTCTGAAATCAATGAGGTTTTAAAATTTTTACTTCATTAAAAATCTATTGCCTTCTTCTGAGTGTCTTGGAATAATCAAACTTTTATGTTGAGTTTGAGCACCTTGAATGTAATTTTACTGTCTGTGTGCAAAAGTGAAGTACAGAGAGGTGCTCTTTCAGGTGCAGCAAATTCTTTCCTTTTTTCCCTTTGAGTGCCAGATGTAGACCTGACTAACATGCTAATCCATGAACCCGTTACTTCAGGGAGGGCAGTGTCTGTGACTTTGGGGCATTTCCAGTCACTTTAAAACCTCAAGATCAAGCATTCATCAGAAGACAGCACCCACGCACCATATACTTTATACCGTATTGAAAGATGTTCCAAGTTATGCCCTGTGCTTGTAAACGGCTTTTCTCTGCTCCGTGCAGTCTTGATGTTTTCCTCAGAATCCTGTGAACTCATGAAAAATGTTTCCACAGATGAAAAGGTCAGGACAGAATTTAGCCTTTACTTTCAAGGGAATAGTGTTGAAGGTTAGTGTGAGTTGAAGGTGAAAGGCTTACGTTGTTTGCTTTTTTCCTAACATGACACTTACTAATGCTGGTTCTCTTTCAGAAAGCAGGTGATGAAGTGGACGTAATACTGTTGGGCAACAAGTGTGATAAGGAGTCTGAACGTGTAGTTCCAAAACGTAAAGGAGAAAAGGTATCATTGATCATTGGTGCTTTCTTCCGCTGAGTATCTTAGTATGTGACTATGAACTACTGCACTGAAAGTGATAAAAGGCTCCTGGGTTCCAAAAACTCTGTTAGAAATAGCTCCAGAAGAACAATGTTATTGGTTGTGTTTTGTTTTGTTTTTTTAATATATGTACAGAAATTCATTAAATATCTCCTAGTTGCTCTCTTCAGAATACTGATTCTTATTTTAAAAGTTAAAATGAACTTAAATAGTTTCAGGCATTATGGTGGAAATTGTATTTTTCAAATTATATTTACAAAGATTTTAGAATCTACATTTCCAGAGCACTGTTGTAATGTGGAATGCTAAAATATAATGCATAGTACATTCTGCATCATTTTTATAGTACCTGATGTACTTATCAATGATTTTTTGCTACAGTCTGACTGTAAAGAGCTATTCTGGCAGCCCGTGCACTGTGATCTTCATTGTTTATAAATAGCTCTAAATAATACTGTACAGATACATTTAGGGGACATCCAGCTACCCTCCAAGTTCTAAGTGCGTGGGTTGTACAGCTGAGATTATAGTTTAATTATAGTATAATGTAGTTTAAACTATAGAAGAACTGGTAAGTGGGGAGTACTGTTTTAAAGGTGATGGCAAATGACCATCACTGAGAACCTGTGAGGAAATCCAGGAGGCATGCAGTGGCAGAAGAAACTGTGCTGCTGACTTAATGTTGCAGTTTAGTTTGGAGTATATACCAGTAATTTTTCCAACTGAAAATTGTAGTCATCTGTTGTATGTATGTTGGAACAAACCCTTCTACTATGCATTTAGGCACAGTGAGTCAGCAGGTTATACTGTGTTTGAGGAAAAGAACACTGATAATTTCTTGCCAATTATATAATTACAGATTAAGAAACTTTAAAAAATAGCATAAGGTATACTGTATCTGTGTACACGGAATAAGGTTGCTGAAAAATACATGTATACTCTAACTCAAGGAATGCACTGTCAGAAGTCTGAAGGCTCACTGGATGCATGTGCACAAGAGGGCAGTATTAGGGTTTTGCATATGGTATTAACAATGACTTTTTCTGACTTCTGCATCCTTAACGATGCAATCAAAATTTCTCTTAATGCAGTCTTTTTGTTGAGAAACAAGTCATTACCCCCTCACCACTGTGTCTGCTTTCCAGATTTCTCCTGTGTTCTGAGGCAGCTCTTCAGTTATACTATTTTTCTTTTAATGTGATGTTAAAATGCTAGAGAATCTGACTGAGCTAGCTGGAGAAAGATTGCATTAGCAGAGGGTAAGCTAATATCCTTCTCTCATTCCAAGGAAGGAAATACCATATTAAGAGGGGAAAATGGTTTAATGCAAACTCTGCCACATAATAATTCGCACTTATATATTTCATATTGCCCTGTGAGTATAAGCTGTAAGCATTGTTCTGCTCAGAATCTTGCACAGATCAAAGGATTCTCTGGGAATTTTACCATGGATTTTGGCATTTCCGTAACAAGCTGTCATAACTGAGTGGTCATGGTATGCCCGTGTAAAAACTAATTTAATACAGAGAAATTATATTTTTAAAGCTTGTTTTTGTAATTGTATCATTTTGGTCACTCATAAATTGACATACTTAAATTTAACACTATGAAGTATTTTCTTAGATTAATAACTTTTATTTATTCATTTTGAGAAAAGTTTGAATTCAACCTTTTTGGGGCTCCTCCTCCAATTCCCCTCTTCCCAAACCAATACCATTATTTTTCTCATTGAAAAATAAGTAAAAAAGATGAAAGTTACATAATTTGGTAGAATGTGCCCATTTTTCTTGTCACATCTTTCTAACAGAAATAGACAACTGTGTTTGCTTGTTTGTTTTGCTTTTTGCTCTTCATGTGCCTGACTTCAAAATTGATTTTACAGGTAAATATGCATGAAAAAAAATACTCCACAGTGCTAGGAATATTACAGACAAATCTCTGTGATTCAACACTAAGAAATCATAGCAGCATTTTACTAGGAATTACCATATTTTTAGTTAAAAGAAATTAGCAGTTGGAATTAAACTTAGCTTTGGAAAAGATACTGGCAATTATTTATTTGTTTGTTTGTTTATTTATTTATTTTGTGAGACATAAGCTTATTTCACTTGAGATCTCCAAACTGTTTTCAAGGATGATATAAAATAATGTTTCCAAGTAGCATTATCACCGTCAGTTTGGTATTTAGTTTTATTTACAGATCTATTCAAGATATTTCTGAAGGTTAAAAAAAAAAAAAAAAGGTAATTCTTAGAGTGTGCCTTTCCAGGTTGTTTGAGGTAGATTAGCCAAAGCTTATACTTGCTGCTGCATTAATACTGGACTGATGGTGTGGTTTTCTTTTTTTTTCATTTATGTACATTTGTAGACAACTTGCTTGCCACTATACTTAGTAGAATTGGAATAATACATACATTAATGCATACATTTGTGGAGTCTCCCTCTTTGGAGATACTCAAAAGCCATTTGGACATGGTCCTGTGCAACCTACTCTAGATGGCCCTGCTTCAGCAAGGAGGTTTGACCAGATGACCTCTAGAGGTCCCTTCCAACCTCAGCCATTCTGTGATTCTCTGATTAATCTTCTCTATTTGGTGTTCTTTGTTCATTCTTCTTGATTTATTAAGTCCTTATCCAACCATTTAAAGGACAAGGAGGTGATCTGAAATGTTCAACAGAGGGCAAATCCTCTGAGCCACCCTGATTGCCTTTTATGATACCAGGAAATGAGGATGTGGATAAGGGAATAGCAGTGGTTTTGATATATTTTGAATTTAATAAGGCTTTTGTCACTTCCTCACGTGGCATTCTCACTTGGAAGCTAGGAAATGTGGGCTAGATGCAAAAGGTAGTAATTGAGGGTGATTGGTAGTAACGAGCAGAGTACATCACAGGTCTGTGGTGGGACTCTGGTTGTTCAACATCTACATCAGTGATCTGATGACAGAAGGAGATTCACATGTGATGTGAGATTTAGGGTTGTGACCGGCACACCAAATGGTAGAACTTCAATTCTCTAGGACCCTGATGAAATTCAGTACAGAGAAGTACAAAGGTTGCCACCTGGAAGGGAATAGTCGCAGGCATCAGTACAAGCAGGGAGTGATTGCCTGAATTACAGCCCTGCTGCAGAGCACTGACAGCGTATAATGAACAGAGCTCAAATAAAAGTCAGTGGTATCCTCGCATTGCAAAAAAAGCATGCTAGACTACAGTTAGGAGGATAATGGATGGCAGATCTGGAGAAATTATTACCCCTGTCTTTTTAGTGCTGGCAAGACCACATGGAATGTTGTGTCAGTTTGGGCTCCCCCGTTTCAAGAATGATGCTGAGATAGTGGAGAAGGTCAGACAAATAACTGAGGTCCAGTGGAAGCAATGCATGAGAGCTGAGGGAGCTGGGTAAAGAGGATGCTGAGGAGCAGTTACTGGTCTACAGCAATTGACGTGTAGTTAAAAGGGTGGCTGAAAAGGACTCTTCTGAATACTGGCAGACTAAAGCAAATGGCAATGGACACAGATCTTGGCTTGGGAAGTTCAGGTTGGAGATGAGGAGAACCAATTTCACTAAAAGGGTGGTCTAGTCATGGAAGAGCGTCCCAGAAAACTTGCAGAATCTCCATCCTTGGGGGATTTCAAGGGTCAGATAAGCAAAGCTATGGTTGACCCTGTGTTATATGGGCAGTAGTCCCATTTCATGTGGGGTTATCTTTCCAAGTGATTTCTGTGATTCAACGATTCAAATGGTGTGCATTTACCAGTGTTTCTACATAGGTAGACTCTAGATGTCTATTACATGACACAAGAAAGAGTAAAGGGATATTTAATAGTAGAACCCATGTACTTTATAAATTTTGAAGCAGTCTTCCCCATTTTATTAGCCCAGCATTTTAACTACCTGTGTTTTTCCTTATGAACCATAATGAATCATTGTTTACCATTGACACTTGCTAACAGTAATGTGATCTTAATTTTTTGTTAATTTTTTGTTGTTAATTTTTTGTTGCTGCAGTATCTAAAACTGTTCATTGCAGTCAGCAGGAGTTTCGAATCTCTCATGAAGCAGTCTGTTTTAAGAAACAGAAATGTTCTTCATTTTCAAAATTATATTTCATTACAGTATTTTGGAAAATAAACCATTTGCTAACCTTTTTCCACCTTTAAAATAGTCTTTATTATATCATTACTAAAATTCTGCACTTCAATTCTTACGCCTTCATGCCTTATTTTTGAATTTTTGTAAGTTAGCTCTAGAGCCCATTGAAAACAATCATAACTGCCAGTATTAGACTTTTTATCTTAATGAAGAACATTACAAATAAATTAAGTGGTCAGTAATTACAGGATTTTGTATACATTATAAGCAGTAGGAGTATTTTCTTTCACTGGGATTGCCTTCTCCAGATGTGTAGTGAGAGATTTTTCATTGCAAAGGGAATAAAATAGGCCTCCTACTACGTTTTTTGTTTTTTTTTCTGGCAGATATTCTCAACTTAGCCTCCTCCCATGGTCAGCTGTTTTTCTCCATGTATTTGGCAGTATAAATTAGAAGAAGTTCAGGACCTTAAAAAGCTATGAATTTTGTAGTTCATTTTTCCTCATGCCAATATGTATCCATCCAGCTGTAAGCGAGGTATGCTGGAATTAAGGTGACACAAGTAAATTAAATAAAATTAACCAACATAATATCTGTACTGTAGATTTATTCTAAGTATTTTCTTGGTTCTCCTATTACCATAATATATTTTCACATACACATCAGTTCTTTGTATGTCTGTTATCTGTGTGCTTTTCTGCCTCTTTAGTGAAATGCTACATCTCTTTTTTTATTTCATCATGACTGTTTTTATACATATTTGTCACATTTTTATCTATCCTTTTCTGCAGGCATTCCATTAATTTCCTCTAAATAATTGCCTAGGAGATGATTCATTTTCCAAATCAGTCAAAACATTGAGAAGAGACCCACTACAGTTTGTTCTTATTTACAAGATAGATTGAAAAGTTGTTTTGAAAATAGAGAAATTTAAGAAGACTGATTTAAGACTTACCTGAAATTTATGAAATGAGAATGAATACAGTGTACTTCACTGAGCTGACATTTGCTTAATATTTATATAACATGTTAGAAACTGTCAGAAGCATTTACATATCTATTGCTATTGGCATCAGTAAATATTTTATTTTTTCCTAAAGACTCTTTATCCTGTTGCCTACATTTGTTTTTCAGCTTGCTTGGGAACATGGGATTCACTTTTTTGAAACCAGTGCCAAAGATAACGTGAACATTGAGGATGCATTTTCACTCTTGACTAAGGAGATACTGGAAAAGGTAGGCTGAGCAGAAAGAAAAGGGGAGATCGGGTAAACAAGATTGTAAACACAGGATAGCTTTAGCGAAGCACAACCAGGACTGTTTTTGCATTATGTAGTTGTATTTGGGGGGATCCTGTAACTGTAGACATATGGGGAGGATATGGGGAAGAAGAATTGTGGGAGGAGAGAACAGAAGAAGAAGGAAACATGTACAATATTGTTCAAGGAGAAGGTGGAAATTCAGGAAATCTGCATTAGTGGTTTTCCTTCCCACCGTTTCCTTCAAGAGAAGCATTAATACTGGAGGGGGGGGTTACACTGTAGTTCCACTTCTGTACCAGGAAGATCCATTTTTTTCTGTAGGTTTCCTCAGAATGTGCATACTGTGAAGAGGTCACATGCAGATGGACAAAGCAGACCTTTTATGTACAGCAATCAAATGTTTTATCCAAAGATCATAGCTGTTTGTTTGGATAATTTACACTAGTGCTTTTGAAGATCTTAGAACTTAAAAGATTTGAGTTAATTAGTGGTAGAATCAATATTGTAGCTGTCAGAGTTGGCATCTCTAACCACTTAGCTTGTGTTGGTGTAAAGGTCCTTGCTACTCAGAGTTGCCATACAAAACTCTTTTGTAGGACTGAATTATTGTTAATTAGCTATGAAAATGTTTTGCATTGCAATTTATTTTTAGACAGTAGAATATTATTTTAGACATTAATGGATGTTCTTCATGCAATGCATTATCATTGCCATTCATCACCAATATTAGTTATACAAAACTAGCCTTCCATTCCGAATACTCTTGAAGGCATAATAAAGATAAATGAGCAAAATTACTGACAAAGTCACAAGTTGCAGTGTTTTGATTAAATAGCCATAGGGGATGGTCAGAATAATAGCTCAGGGCTGCACTGCTTCTAAATCAAGGTCCTGTCCTACTATACAATAACACAAGCTGTTGGTGTTTTTTTTGTTTGTTTGTTTTTGTTTTGTTTTGTTTTTAAAATACATTATTTTGACTCCCTTAGCATGAAAATGAAACGCAACTGCCAAATATCATTTAGAAGAGGAGAATGGCAGGTCTTTGAATAGCTGAGAAAAAGTCTCAAGATAACTTTGAATTTCTTGTGAATGAAAAAGACACTTTCTACTGTAAATAAACAGTATATTTGTTAGTATGCAGCATGAAAGATACAAAGCAATAGCTATGATCATAACTGCTGCAAAGACAAATATCTGCAAAGCTAACATTTCTGCATATTGCATTTGGATAAGATCTGAGACAGTTCTCTGCAGCATGCAGAAAATGTGTTTGGGTATTTCTCACTCCAAGATTGTCTGCATTCATTATACTTTAGTTGTAATTTTAGTATTCCTACTAATCTTCATGAAAATCCACGGCTATTATAGTGTGGACATGCAAACAAATTCAGACCATTGTACTCCAGCATGGCTTGAATTAGAACTGCTTGAAAATACAATTGTACAGTCTGTGTACACGTGTTTGGAAAATATCTCCATGAGAATTTGTCAAGTTTGTCTGTAGTAACATTTTGCTCCATCTAGAAATGTTTGCAATCCCTGATGGGGCCTCACTTGCCATTACTTTGGTGTGTCATTTGTTATTTGTAGTGAAAGACATTTGTTGATTTAAACAAGGACTCCTTTAGCCCAATTGGTTTTGCCACTGGCCTGATAAGAAAGAATTCACAGGGAAAAAATAAATAAATCTACCATACAGTCTCATCACGGTTTTCAGGTTCAACAAAATAATTTGCTTGTTCACAAAACTGTGAAATCTGAATGTACTACTTGAATTTTAACTTCCTCTAACTGATGAAATTTTGGAGAAGGAAAAATGTGCTAGGAGGTGTGACTAGTAGCTGTGAAAAATGACATGATAGCTGCCAGTCTGAGATTTCAGTCATACATCCATTCTGCAATGCTAAAAAACATAGTTGCTGATTGTAAAAAGGAGATACATCATTGCACAGTATTTTGGCCCAAGACACATATACCTGAGGTAGCATCGTATTGGGCCTTGCTTACTTCTGTGGTAGGACCATCTGTCCCAGACTGATGAGATGCTTCAGTGGAAGCATGCCGTTGCTTTACCAGAAAACTTGTTTGAAGGAGCTCTCTTAAAAAGTCTAGTATGGCCATGTCTTTTGGAAGTGGGCTTAGGCCATTCAGAAGTAAGACAGGCAGGCAGGCAGACAATAGACCATTTTCAGATCCATTGTAGTAGGCTACATTAATCTTGGGAAATCTAGGATTTTCTATATACATTCTTGTTCACCATCTACAATCTAGGCATTTCTTTATTAACTAGTTATATAGCAAATACACATGTAGATGGGGAAGATCAATGTCTGGAAATGTAGAGGTCATATAGAAGTAATGAGCTTCTTGATTCTCTTGAAATTTAGAACAAGTTGCAGTTCGAAGGAGTTCCCAATTAAATTTATATATATATATACATTAAAATGTGACAGACCTAAAGGGCAGATTTATATTGTCATTATTTTGTCCTACATTTTCCTATTCGTAGAGTGTGGATTTAAGCCTACAGACTACTTACATAAGACCATGCTATGTCTTCTTTTGTGGCTTTACTTTTATGTGGTTTAGGGGAGGGAGAAGACTTCCATGTCCCAGTGATTCATATAGCTAAAGCACTGGTCAACTTTTCAGATATTTATAATCCATGAAAAACATTCTCTGATGAGTTTCAAACCCACAGCTCTAATTTGCATGGAAAATCTCATTAAAACAATCAGATATTATTTGAAAGCTTATGTTGGTTCCAGGTGTGGAGTCATGACATATTTTTGAGAATAGTTAACTCAGTTTTCAATCGTTCTCAGTTAATAAACATAAAAACATAGAGTCATAGAAACATAGAACAGCTTGGATTGGAAGGGACCTTAAAGATCATCTAGTTCCAAACCCCAAATAATAACTGATTTGATTGTATTGGAAAGGCTGTAGTGGAAACAAATGTTAATGGCACTTACAACTTATTCCAGAGGTTTGCTTAGACATGTTGACAAATAACTTTTATTGTTATTATTCACAATTCTTGCAAGTTTAAGATTTGCCTAAACCTGCTTATTAATTGATGACAGCTGTTCCTTAACAGTGCTTCAGGTTGCCAGTGAACTATTTGTACCTGTGAGTCAGTCCTCAAAAAACAACCAAACCCCCCAAATACCACCCAGAATGCAGTTAGCAGTTTGCGCTTTTGTGTTGTTTGGTTTCATGGCTGATGAGCAGTACTCTCTACAACTAGCTTTTAAAAAAATGTAACAAGCCTTTGTGTTTCTGTCTTTGTGGGTGTGGTGGTTGGTATTTTTCTAAACTAGGAGCAGAAGGATGGAAACTGTATTCAACAAAAAGAAAAGAAAAAAAAATGCAGTTCTGGCTCTTTTCTGAAGACTGCTATAAAACTATCCTGAAACTTATGTTCTGCCTACATCCCAAAATCGATCAACTGCTAAGATTGTTTTAATGTTATATTAAATAAATACATATCTTCTGAGCACAAAACAGCCAAAACCCATTTAAGAACTTTCCTTGTGCTGTTGAGGTTAACACGGAAAGTGTAACAGTTAGATGTAATTTGAGATGAATATTCAAAGATGGTGGGCCTCAACTCTATTCTTCCTTGATCTCTTTAGTTTCCTTTCCAAGGCAACAAGATTTTTGAGATTATACTTCCTTGAAAATAAGGTGCTGGGTGAAGGAGAGTCAGAGCACTCTGTAGAAAGAAGGTCTTCGGCAATAGTTCATACAGTAGTAGACAGAGGTAACTACACAGAGAGAGACTGAAAAATGCTTTGACCAGCTACTCCAGCTGGAGCTCGCATTGTAGATATCAAATATCATTCAGTGCAGGACACAAATCCATAGGAAATCAGGCTTCATTATTGCTGAGATTCTGGGAATTGTTAGTGTGTCCTAAAGATCCCTGTGTCTCAAGCAGTGCACATTCAGTGTTTACTTATTATCCTTAGTCATGCATGAAGCCCAAGGCTTTATTTACCCTTTATTTATCTTGTACTGACCACAGAATATTAATTTCTTTGTGAGGTTTTTCATAATGCTCTTAATGCTGTATTCGAGATCTATTTTAGATTTTTATCTTCATAACCTTCTTAGTAACAGTAGGTAGTATATTCAGCATTGCACACATGGGAACCATGGTACAGATATTAAAGCAAAAAGGATAAATGGTACCAACTCACATAGCATTGGAGCAATGTAAGGACTAATTTTGCTCTACACCTACTTTAATTCAAAAAGGTCTGTTCTGAACATCGAATGAGCCAGATATTCTTCTGGAAACAGTAACATGTAATTAGGTCATGTGAATCAAATGTTGAGTCTTAATCTCTGGATCTTAATCATAATGTTTGAGCATATAGGATGAGATTCATCTTAGTGAGCAACCTTAGGCAGTTGAAATGACTAGTCTGATGTAGTCTAGAATCATGGAATCACAGAAAGGGTTGGGTTGGAAGGGACCATAAAGATCCCCTAGGTCCAACACCTCTGCCATGGGCAGGGACACCTCCCACTAGACCAGGTTGCTCAAAGGCCAAATCATCTATATTCAATGGAATGAAATAGATCTTCGGATATAATTGTGTTCTGGAGGTGCCTTTCTCTCTACATTGAGGACTTTGTAGAGGACTCTGTATCACAGCCTTCATGGTTTCATATGATTGAAGTTAAATTAATTCAAGTAAACCAAAGTAAAGTTACACAGTTGGCTTACTTCTGGAATTTGTTGCTTCTGCAAGATCATGACTTTGCAACCTGATTGCTCTCTTAAATAGGGCTTTTGAGGTTGGATGATATTAATCCTTACACAGATATCAGTAGGGTTGGGGTTTCTTAGAGTAACAGCATAGTTGTCTTCTTAAGCTTGTGAAATAATTGCAGTACAATGTTGTTAGAGTCTATGTGTTATTAACAGAAGAGGGAGATAGAGATCCACACTTTGCCAGTGGATTAGATGTGTCCTGGACATTGTGGAATAGTAGGATTTGGGAACAAGGACTTCCATTCCCATCTCTTGAAGGTGTTCTGCAGCAGTGGAATCCCATTGTGTCTTATCCTCCCTTGGTCCTCTCCTACTCCTGTCCCTGCCCCAACACTGATCACTCTCCCTGCTAACGTATCTCCAGCTCTTGCTGATACTGCTTGTGCCCTTCCTGTTGGGAGATGACTGTTTTGAATTTTGAACAAGCAATTTCAAATCTAGAATTGCAGAAAAGACAGGTTAAAGAGACAGTAGGACAGATCTTAACAACTGAGCTCTCTCTTTCGGCTGTGTAGGTGCGGAAGTCCCATGAAGTTCATTGCACAAGGTCCTCTGCTATGCTTTGCCAATCTTTGTCAGAATTTCAAGAAGTTACAAGTAATAGTAACTTCAATTACAGTCCCTTCTGTGTATCATAGAATCACAGAATCATCTAGGCTGGAAGAGACCTCCAAGCTCACTTAGTCCAACCTCTGACCTAACACTAACCAGTCCTCCACTAAACCGTATCACTAAGCTCTACATCTAAACGTCTTTTAAAGACTTCCAGGGATGGTGACTCCACCACTTCCCTGGGCAGCCCATTCCAATGCCTAACAACCCTCCCAGTAAAGAAGTTTTTCTTAATATCCAACCAACCCCCCTCCTCCCCTCCCCCCGGCGCAATTTTAGCCCATTCCCCCTTGTCCTTGTTTCTCTAAAGCCAATAGTTTTCCAGCAGACACACTAGAGGCAATGAAATGTTGAAAAATGTTATCATTCTTCAAACCCATGGTGAACCCCGTCTCCAAAATACCTAAATAAGCATAAAAATATCAAGAACTGGTGCTAAGAGTAGGGGAATCCAACTTGTTTTAACACTGCTAATCTGAGCAGATTTCCAGCGAGGTCAGGTACTGTAAGTCAGTGAGTGGTACAACCTCTGCTTAGAGCGAGTGAGGAGAGACAGATGGCTGCGGGCAGCACCTGATTCTGCCTGATTTTCTCCACTGATTCAGCAGTGAGCTCAAAACACTTAAACAGATGCCTGTCTGTTGGGTGAGACATGTCTGCTATGGTATTTAGCAGGAAAAACTAGTATTTTGTACCAGTAGGTTTCAATGTCTTACTGAAATCACTGTGGAGTAGAATGGCGTCTGTTTCTTTGGTGGTATGTTCGAAAGTTTGTTCTGCCCAAGATGCTGCAGCAGAAACTTGAGCTTCTTGATACCACTTTGGTTATTCTCACCTTTTCACTGTTTTCTGCTGTTTGTTGGCTGCCTTGTAGGGAAGTGAGTTTCAACAGGCTGAGCTGAAATGTGATCTAGGAGGATGTATTGAGAGGGAGGGAGCCCAGAGCAAGGAATGTTGCTTGCCTTGTTCTCTGAGATGGGGGAAATTTGCATACCTGCCCTCCTTAATTTGAGGAGGGTGCCGCACCTCTCACAGAGATTGACTGGATCTCAGCACTACGCAGGACTACTGTCTCTGCTTCAGCTCCTCATGCAGGACTCGTATCTCTTCGGGTTATGAATATGTACTTTTAAAATGTGTGCCTAGCACATTTGCTTAAATGAATCCCAAGCTTGTCTGCTTGATGAAGATCTTTTACGAGTCTTATCAAACTGAAGTGATCCTTAAAGTCTTCAACATTTCAATGACTTTTAAAACAAAATTGTCACCTCTTCTTTATTGGTGGAGAGGCCATTCTTGTCTTTCTGTCCTGGATAATTTGTTGATTAACTACTATCAGGTAATGATTTTACAGGTGGTATGAACAATTTCATTGTGAAATAGGTTTCAACATTATTAATCACCTGAGGATCCTTGCTGTACATATTACTGGCCACCCAAAAGTACTATCCAGCAGTACAGTATTTGCAAATAAGCATTTTCAGTGTTTAAGGAATATGCAAATCACTGCCCTTTAACTGAAAGCATGAAGTTAGATAGAACCCTCAACGCTTCAAAATTATCTGTTTCCTCTAAAGTTAAATAAGTGAAACTTGAATAGTAGAATTGTTCAAATATTTACTTTTCTGGAACACTCTTACTACCTAGACTGATTTTTTTCTTGCAAAGAGAAAGGTGTAAAATGAAACCTCCTTAGCTGTTATCTTCCAGATCTTTTTTTCTCCCTATCTTATCTCTGAACCAGAGTGGTGTCATGTTCTTGAGGTGACAAGTTTATGGTTAGTTACATTAGTTTCTGCCTTGCTCCTTCTTTTGAAAAGGATTTCATACTTTACAGTCTACACATGAAAACTCTCAAATACATTCTCCACCTAGCACAAGACCTAATCGCCACTGTGTGTATTCAAGCAACCTACATAGCAGAAAACAAAAAAAAAAAATCATGCATCTTCTCTGGAATTTTAGTTAGTGTTAAATATTCTCAGCTATAGGGGAATAGTACTTATTTTAACATGAGGAAACTTTTTTTTTCCCCCTCATTTTGATTCAATTAAATAATTTTAGGTGGACTTTTCTGGATATAGTCAGCCTGCTCTGTGACACTGTATGTGGAATTTCTGGATTGTAAATCATGATTGCCATTGTCTTACATGATGCGATTTTTTTTCTTCTTCCTTTTTTTCCTGTTCTTTGAATTTCATGAATTCCAGCTCAGATATCTGTCCTTTCTGGAACCTTCTTGTTATTGTGAGAAATGGTTGTTTATGGCTGTTGAGTTTGGTTTGAGAGAGGAATGCAGTGATTCCAGTGGTTGCGCTTACTTCTCTGTATATCATTATACACTGGGTAAACCTGCCAAGAAGCATACAGCAGAATGGCAAATAGAAAAGTTTGGACTTTTCTTTTTTCAAAGCATGTGACAGTAATCTCAATGTCTTTGTCCATGAGTTCAGGATTCAATATTCATATTTTTAGAGTCCAAAGTTGCAACATTTACTAGTACTGTATTGCACAACTGGTTTTGATTGTTTCTCTGGTCAGCACTAATTATCTAGTTAAGTTTATTGCCGAAAGGAAGAGTGCTGGTTTTGCTGATTTTATTTTTTTAAATCTGCTTTTGCAATCTGTAAATAAATGCTTTACAAGGGTGGAGTGCTATTTTGATGCTTCTATCCTGATAAAGACTAGGTTGCTTCTATTTGGAGCCATTTCTGCTTGTGTTTTTTTTGTTTGTTTGTTTGTTTGTTTGTTTTAAAAAAAACAAGTAACAAAGTAGAGAGCTGTAGTGAATTTCACAAACCAGTTCAATACCATTTTTGACAAATAATAATCTATGCCTTTTTCTAATGAGTACTGTTGATCCATATTTCCCTATTCCTTTCAATTGGATTTTTGCACCTCATGCTCAATACTTCAAAGATTAGGGTAGTTAACACAAAATCAGTGAAAATTAGTGCAGTCAACAGAAGAACCTGTACCTCTTAAACAATTCACGTGAGTAAAAATTTACAGGATCAGCTCATATGGTATGTAGTGTCTCCTCAAAAGATGTTTTCTATCCTCTGTCACCTTCAGAATAAGAAGAGACCTTTGAGGCAGCTATAGAATTTAAATACATCGAGCTGTGACTTGCATGGGCATCAGTCTCCCTCTAATTTATTAGAAAACTCCAATCTTTTATTTAAACATTTAAAGGAAAAATATATCTAGTGACCCCATCGAGTCTTTTGCATATTAAAATATGTGAAAATTCAAGTTTTTCAACTATTGTACTGCAGTTATCTTAATTAAATGTTTGCTTTTATTTGTTTTACAGAAGTCCTGTGTATTATATGACTTAGATGTTGTGGATCTAAATGAAAGTAAGAAGAGAACCTGCTGTGCATTCTGAAATATTGTTTATTATTTCATTTCCTCTTCAGAAAATATTAACTATTGCAAAGGAACATAAAAGGTTGTAAAAGGGAGCCTGTAATCACAGAACACAGTATTTAAGCATCTTTTTTATTACACGAATGTTGCTGCCAAATGTTTTGACACATTTATAATATATTTTCATAGTTTTAATATAAAGTTAAAACAATTATCTGACTTTGGAATTATTAGATGCATCTCAGGAGGACTGCATTTGCATACAAATGTTTGTACAAATGAAATCTAAGTGCACTAATTTTCTTGTATTAAAAACATTTACCTTAACATTTTTTGTGTTATTTATATCAGATTCGTAATGTAATGAACATTGACATCACACAGACAAGCTTTTGGTATAAGAACTCACTTATGCTATTCACAAGACAACATCTTTTCAGGCAGCTGATATTTAGTGTAGTCTCCTAAGATAATTTTCTGGAAATTTTTGGCTTGGCTTCTTTTCTGTCCATTTCAGAAATGTACGTGTTACTTGAAAACCCTTGAACAGGGAGGCTGCAAAGATGAGGGCTGAGATAAAAGAATAAACAATTTCTGTATGTTGCAGAACCTTATTTGGAAAGCAGAAAACACGGAACAATTGAATGAATCCAGTAATAATTATCTTGCCTTATTGTTCTGTTGAATAATTTATGCAGGTTTTAGCAGCATACCTTTATTTCCAAGTTCTTTTGTCGTAAATGATCACTATATTAAAAGGGTACGCAGTGTTTGTTTGATGTGAGGTATTTATGTTATTTTCTTAAAGTATAAATACATCAGGGATCTGATCCTGCTCATGTGGATCTGTGTACACTGGTGTATAATAGCTTTAATTTCAGGGGAGGATACCACATTTTAGTTAAATTTGAATGAGGGCAGAATCATGATGCCACTTTCTTTTTCTTTAATTAAACGCAAGCCGAACACAAATCAAACCTTCTGGAGACACACAAAGCAAATGCTAGCTGGGAAATCTGAAGAATTGTTGGGATTATATTGTCTTTTTTTTTTTTTTTTTGGTCTGGGAGATGGGAATCTTGATGATTATTAAATGTAATTGTTCTACCACCATTTGTGAATGGATAATACTGGTGTGCAAGGTTGTGTGGTGAGCCATCCCAGTACATCCGGGATAACAAACTCCATTGGCTTACAGTTGTGGAATGCCACTACCCTTCTGAAAGGGCTTCTTTTTTGAAGGCTGTCTTCAGATTGTCTCCAATCAAATTTGGTATCGAGACAGGGAGCTTAAATACAAATTGCTTTCTGAAGCACATGGGGTCTAGTATGTGTACTGTTAAGTTACTGTGCCACCAGGCAGTTTAATAGGCTTGCAGAAGGGGCATGAAAGACAAGAAGATTTACGTATTTACAGCTGCTCCTAAGACTACTCTTCATGGCCTGTCGCTAAACCTAGTATTTAGAGCAAAATCTGAAAACAAAGAACAAAGGATAATCCCTGCCTTAGTTACAGCCAGGGCAGATGAAGAAAATAGTGCTGGAAGGGATTTTGAAAGGCTGTCTAGTTCCTCCTCTTATCTCAAGTGCGGATCAGCTGTCCCTGCTGTATTGCAGGAAAATGTTTAAAGACCTGCAGTGACGGGGATTTTGGTCCCTCTGAGTAATGTACAATCCTTACTGAACTGGTTTTGCAAGCAGGAAGTTTCCTAATACCTAACCTAACTGGTAGACATGGAAAGCAGGTTCGTTCTCTCTT